AAGTGCTACATTAGAAAGAAAAACACATGTAGCGCTATTTAGGGAAAATCATTATGTTTTAGTGCTATTTAAGTAAATTCCTCGTAATGTAATGTCTTTTTCGTTCCCAAGAGTTATATGTCTTAGTAATGGATGAAGATTACTTGACTATTTCTCAATTCTTCCTCACACAGGACAACATGTGGCCTTGCATGACCCCAATCCTCCTCCTGATTGTATTGGCTATATACATACAAAAATGTCACCAGTTGAGGTTGCACGAAATGCCAGTGAAGATGCTCGTTCTATTTGCCTGAGAGAATATGGCAGTTCACCTGAAGTTAGCATTTACGGGGATCCCAATTTCACTTTCCCGTAAGACAATTCTTTGTGATGTTTTTCTTCATTTTCCTGGATACATTCATTGTCTTCACTGTCTTTGGTAACCACTCAGGTTTCTGTAGAGCTGTTCCATTCTATTAACCTATTAATCATCATCTAACAAAATGTCATTCTTGTCAGAAATAACTTTTATTGTACTTTTATAAATATGAATGACATGGGGAATGAAATCACACAACTCTTCTCTGCATCATTTACATAATTACGCTGTTGCTGGTTTTCATTTTTTTTATAACAGGTATGTCCCGACTCATCTACATTTGATGGTGTTCGAATTGGTCAAGAACTCCTTGCGTGCTGTCCAAGAGCGATATATGGAATCAGATAAAGTTGCACCACCCGTTCGTATAATCGTAGCCGACGGTTTGGAAGATGTTACCATCAAGGTAGGTACCTTTTAAGTTTTAGTTCAAAGAATTTTTAATTAGAGTTTGATTTGGAAACTTGAGTTCCTTTTTCTATCATTTTTGTTGGAGGCAAATTACCTTTATCTTTTTAACCCATTGCTGAATTGTTTTAATTTTCCTGCAGGTCTCAGATGAAGGGGGTGGAATACGAAGAAGTGGGCTTCCTAAAATTTTTACATATCTCTACAGTACTGCAAAGAACCCATTGGATGAGCAGTCAGATCTTGGCACAACTGATGTGGCAACTATGTCCACACTTGCTGGTTATGGATATGGGCTGCCAATAAGTCGCTTATATGCTCGTTACTTTGGTGGAGACTTGCAAATTATATCTATGGAAGGATACGGTATGTTTTAACAACACATTTCTTGTTGTTTTGCAAGTTGCAACTGACTTTGCACACGTTTGGCAACAACTTCAATGTTTTTAGGTTTAACGTTTTCAAAATTAATCTGCACCATTAAAAAGTTATCAAAAATGTTAATGGTTATTGAAAACACTATTTCCAAACAAGGCCTTTAGCATTATTGGTTGCATTGTAAGTAATTTTGCCTTACTGAACAGCCATAAAAATGCAAAATATAAAAAAAAAAATCAGCCCTCATAGACTTTAGAATTGAACATGCTTTACAGGGACAGATGCTTACCTTCACTTGTCAAGGCTTGGAGATTCACAAGAGCCATTGCCTTGAGGAGTGCTCACATTTGGGATTTTATTCACTCAAAGCTCATTAATTTAAGTTTATGTAAATATTGCCATTCAATGATGTTTCAACACTTTGCCAACAATGAAATACAATTTGCTGTAATTGTGAATTTATTCTTATTATTCTACCAATTGCCGTTGCTTGTATTCCCCCTTGCATCTTTTGATAATATTTTTGCGTTAAGGAGCTCGTTTCTTAACGTTATGTTTGGTTCAAGGAATTAGAAATAGAAAGAAAAAGATTAAGTTTTTTCACCTTTTCCTCACCAAAATCGAAGACATTTGGTTTTTTCTGTTGTTATTTTTACTTTTTCTTCTAATTTTCTTTTCCTTCCACTTTTCTTCACTAACCAAACACGAAATATGTTTTCTTTAGCATTTTCTTTTATTTTCTCTTTTAAACTCTTTGAACAAAGAATAGTGTGAGGGTTGAAGTTTGAAATGGTTGAAATTGTTGAAAGATTGAGTCTTTTGAAGGATGAAAACTGGGAAATGCATGAATACTTTAACCCCGTGGATAACTCTATGTAAGAAATCATCGTCTATGAAATCCGAGGCACAAACTACGTACAGATTGCCTCACACAGGATTCCCATAGACTTCCTTGACCGCTTGCTCGCTCGTCATCTCCACACAACCCTACTCGGAAGAAGAGATTCACGGGATCGATCGAGAAGCGGGCCAAGAAGAGGATGCAGAGGTATTGTTGACAAAGATTGGATGGGGTTGTCAAAGGCCGGGAATGATCGACTCTGGGATTAAGCATTTTTAAGTGTTGAAATAAATGATTTTAAAATAATAAAAAACATGTGTGTGTGAAGGTCCATGTACACCGTAAGTGCACCATAACTCAAATAAAAAAATAAGGCATGGGTTTAAAGAATTTTTGACACATTATTATTGGGTGATTTTAGCAACTTGAAGCCATATATAGTCTTACGCAAAAAGGGAAAAGCCTCTCACTGGCACATGATACTCTCATTCACATTACCTTTCAACCCAGAGTTTCTATCTCACTTGATAGTTGATATTATGCACGTTTTTCACCTGATCTGAATGCTTCTAATCTTATTTAAACAAGTTTTGATTTGATCTGAATAAAGTTATATATAAAACTATTTGATCTGATTTGATCTAATTCAAATAAGAAACATTAATAAGTAATAAAAATAAGTTGAAGAGAACATGATGATATGACCTTAGATTTGTTTTTCATTGCACGCATACAACCGATGTATATGAAGAAATTTTTTGCTTGTTAGATGGATTTGCCTTGCTTTTATACTAAAAATCTACTTCTTTCGTCTCATAAAACTTTTCAAAGATGAAAAATACGTGCCTTAAAAATAAGTAGTTTGAATATTATTTTCTAATTATGACACGTCTATCATATCCTACATATCATATCTTATTTTATTATAAACTAAGAAAAAAATGTAAAAATAATATCAAAATTAAACATACTTAAGACGTACTTTTTTCATTTTTGAAAAGTTTTATGGAAGTATGCGTCCAATCGTGCATGTGTGGATGTGTGGAGTACATGGAGTACAAGTACCTTGCATGTGTAAAGTTTTCTTCTTTTGAAATTGAACTTTACATGGAGTACATGTAACTTGACTCCATCTACTTTAAAAAATCTGAATAAATTTTGTTTAATCTCCTGTGTCGTAAAGGTAAAAGTGAAGTAGAGTAAATTACATAAAAGATCCCCAGTTATAGGTCGTTTTACATATGTAGTCCCTACATATCAAATATTACTAATTTAGTCTCCAATTATTATACTCCCTCCGTCCCAAAAAGTTTGTTACGTTTAGAAAAAACTGCGTCCCGTAAAGTCCGTTACATTTCTATTAAAAAACCACTTTTACCCCTTACTTTTTCATACCCTACCTATCACATCATACCTTTTTTCTAATAATCTACCCATCACATCCTACTTTTACCCATCACATCAAGGGTATTTTTGGAAAGTCGATACCAAAATATCTCTCCCTTAATTTCCCAAAAAGTCAAACCGTCCCATTCTTTTTGGGACGGAGGGAGTATTTATTTCCACTTATATTTATTTTCACGAATGGTTCTTTGTTAACATTTCCGTTAAGAACGTGGATAAAACTGTAAATTCACACTCCTTTCCCTCCCCTCGCACTCCATTCCCAAACCCGTCAGTGAATTTGAAGCTTTGAACCCAAAACCGAAATCATCACTCTTCTCTCAATTGTTTGTCTAACTGGTGGAACCCAAATTCGAAACCAATAACCTTCAAGGATGAGTTTTAATGTTTATTTTCTTTGCGATTTCTTGAGACTAACCGATAAAACTCATCCATAAAGCTTATTGATTTTGATTTTAGGTTCTACCAGGAAGACTAGTAATTGAGAGAGGAATGATAATTTCAGTTTTGCGTTTAGAGCTTCAAACTCAGCGACGAGTTTGGGAAAGAGTACGAAAGGAGGGAGGAAGCTTTATTTAGGAGAGAGAGAAGTATGAATATATAATTTTATCCATGTTCTTAAAAAAACGTAAACAAAGGACCATTCGTGAAAAATGATACTCCGTATAATAATTGGAGACTAAATTAGTAATATTTGATATGTAGGGACTAAATATGTAAAACGACCTATAACTGGGGACTTTTTATGGAATTTACTCATAGAAGTATTATTCTCTCCAACGCACAAAACCTTTTCGCTTTCATTGTTTATTTGTACCAAAAAATATTTCAATTTGGGTTAAATGGACAAAATTGCTCCCAGTATTATTATTTTCAAATCTAACCTAACCCAACTCTTCCTATGCCCTTCCCATCCCGACACTTCTCAAACCTAATTGTCCACTTTGTCAAACTTCTAGGACTTCCTCTCCCAAAAGTCAAAACTGAAAAATTTTGTGTGACGAAAGAATTTTACAAGAGGTTTAAAAAGGGAAATTTAAGTAAATAGCACTAAAACATAATGACTTTCTCTAAATACCATCACATATGTTTTTTCATTATTTATTAGTCATTATTCAAGTAAATATTGGTCATCACTGGACATTATCAAGTGCTATTTAGGGAATACAACAATTTAAGTGCTATTTAAAGAAATGATTTAAGTTTTAATGCTATTTAGTGCAAATATTTCTTTAAAAAATCAATGCAAATATTAATTTTTACAATTTATAAAATTTTGCCAACCATTAGTAGACTGTAACTATATCCTTCTCTAATCGACAACAAAGTTGATATCATCAATGGTTCAATCACTATCAACCACTACTCTATATTTAATTAGTAGCCTCTCCATTTTTTACTTCCTACCTTAATGGAGATCCATGCACATCCTCCCTACACCACCCTATAAGAAGACCAAGTCAACAACCTCATACCCAATAATTATTATTTTTACATTCATTTTATTTTTTTTAAAGGTATATATTCCTTAGAGATAGTAGTAATAATAATAATAGGTTTTTCAAAAAAAATAACAATAATAGGTTAAAAATAGTAATAAAAATAAAAACAAAAACATGCACGGTGGCATACTCATGAGAGCTACTCTCCTCCTCCTCCTCATTGTGGTGGCGCCGACGGTGGGCGTCGTCGGCAGAGCCACGGAAAATTATCACGACGACGGCGAAAGACTCTCCACGAGCTCAAAGCTTCTGAGCAGTCTTACCGAGGCCGCCGTGAATAATCCAGCAATGAACTTGTTGGATCCTCTCGGGATAGCCAAGACGAACCGAGAGATCGTTAGGAGCGCGCTACGGTTCCCGCGCCCAAAGGACTATATCGAGGGCGCCATTCGCATTTCTCTACAACAGTTTAAGGGCGTGATCAACGGCGTCGTGGATTTGGCGGAGAAAACGGACGACTCTCTCAACCGAATGGCGGTGGAGGATTGTCGCGAGTTGATGAATTACGCCATTGATGAGTTGCAGGACTCGATGACCTCGGTGGATGATTGCCCGCTCATGTCTCTCTCCCACCGGTTATCGGACTTGATGAACTGGCTGAGCGCCGTCTTGTCGTATTCCAACACGTGCATCGATGGGTTCACGAAGCCCGGTCTTCAGTCTGCCATCAACGGCATACTCAAGACCTGCATCACCCAAACCGGTCAAGCGCTTTCGGTCGTCTCTCTCATTCCCCAAATTCTCACCGGCTTGAATAACAACAACCAGAACCCATCACTCCCCGGTGGCCAGACCGTGTATCCGGCTCCCAACACCAACGATGCTTCTAATGGCGCGGTGACCACAACAACCGCGTCATCAGAAGGTGGTGGGGCCTCTGGAGCCGCGACATCAGAAAATGGTGGTGCCTCTGGTGGCGCGACCACTACAGCCGCGTCATCGAAAAATGGTGGCGCTTCTAGTGACGCGACCAACGCAGCCGCGTCATCAGAAAATGTCGACTCTTCGTCGTTTTCCTCCTCGAGTGAAGAGGCGAGCGCGACTAACAACGCAAATTCTTTCTCATCCTCCTCCACCGGAGTCGACCCGACCACTGTGGGGAGCGGGAGAACGCTCAAGGGGGTTCACTTCCCGGCGTGGATGAAGAAATCAGACCGGAAATTATTGGTGTCCAGGCAAAGAGGAGGGGGGGAAAGAGCGCGCGTCGGCAGCGCGAACGTGCAGCCGAACGTGGTGGTGGCACAAGACGGCAGCGGACAATACAAAACCATAACGGAAGCTATCAACGCTTATAATCCACCGGCGAACGCGGCCCGGAACGGGACAAGACACGTGATCTACGTGAAAGCCGGAGTTTACGATGAGTACGTTTTGATTACGAGGAAACAAACCAATATATTCATGTACGGCGACGGTCCGACGAAGACCATTGTCACCGGAAAGAAATGCAACCGTGACGGCGTTTCCACCTTCCGAACTGCCCCTTTCGGTAAGTTCATTTTTCTTTCTTTAATTTAACGCATTATTATTATGAACACAAAGATGCATGCATAATGCAATGTGAATACATTTTTATTCACTAATAATAAGTTTTGAAAATGAAACTCCCTAAATAAACTTTTCCTCTCGTTTTTTCTTTGTCTCCAAATAAACTTCTATTTTTCTTTAAAAAACCATTTTTACCTCTTACTTTTTCATACCCTACCTATCACATCATACCTTTTTACTAATAATCTACATATCACATCTTACTTTTACACATAACATCAAAGGTATTTTTGGAAAGTCAACACAAAAATATCTCTCCTTTAAAACTTCAAAAAGTCAAAAAGGAAAGTTTATTTAGGAACGGAGGGAGTAGAAAATTTAAATTATGTGATTGGTATAGAAAATATTACGAGTACCAAAGATTGAAAGAAATACACAACTAAAGTGAATTTATGAAATGTTCTCCATTATATTATTTGTTCCAAAGAGAATTTCTTGTTCATTATTTATTGAATCAAACTTGGACATATTTCTTTATCTATTTCTATCACTACTTTGATAAGTTAACAATTTTGTCACTTATTATTTTATAAATTTTCTTTTAACTCCCCTTGTCTCGAACTTTAACGGTCTTTAATTCAAAATTTTGACTATTTACATGTAGATACTTTGTTAATATTATAAAAAATACTTCATTTAATATTTTAAAATTACATTTCAAAATTAATCAATTGATATTTAAATAATATTGTAGCACAATGCAATTTTTCTAATTTTGTGATTAAAGTTAAAAAAATATTGACCAAGAAAAACCATACTATAATATTGAGTGAATGAATGCAGCGGTGGTGGGGAATGGATTCATATGCAAATCAATGGGGTTTCGGAACACGGCGGGGCCGGAGGGGCATCAGGCGGTGGCGCTGAGGGTGCAATCCGACATGTCGGCGTTTTACAACTGCAGAATGGACGGATATCAGGACACCCTCTACACCCAAACCCACCGCCAGTTCTACAGCAACTGTATCATCACCGGCACCGTCGACTTCATCTTCGGGGACGCCGCGGCGGTCATCCAGAACTCCGTCATCATCGTGCGGCGGCCCATGGACAACCAGCAGAACAGCGTGACAGCCCACGGCCGGACCCACAACGCGGAGCCCACCGGACTGGTCATCCAGAACTGCCAGATCATCGCCGAGGACGCTCTCGAGGCGAACAAGACGGAGATTCCGTCCTACTTGGGCCGGCCTTGGAAGCCGCACTCGAGGACGGTGATCCTGCATTCCACCATGGGGGATTTCATCCGACCCGAGGGGTGGATGCCGTGGGCCGGGGACTTCGGGCTTGACACTTGTGATTATAGGGAGTTCGGGAACCGGGGCCCGGGTGCGGACACGTCCCGGAGGGTGACCTGGAAGGGGTACCATGCATTGACCAATGCTAATGACGCCATGAGGTTCACAGTGGAACGGTTCATTCAGGGAAACCATTGGCTTCCGGCGACCGGAGCACCGTACTTCCTCGGCCTGAAATCCATCCAATGATTCGGATTTCCCGACGAACATCCGAGACAACGATGAGTTGCCCGATGTCATGTCTCTAGTAGTATCTGAAAGTGTTCTCTTTTTTTCTCTCTTCTTTTCTCATGTTTTAATTTAGCAAACAACAAAAATGTACAATTGTATGTGCAGTTTTGTAAAAACATCTTTTAGTTAGAAAATGCAGCTCTGAAGAATTATTTTGCTGCTCTTAGGCCTCTTTACTTCTGCAAAAAATATTACTACCACATTATTTTGTTATTTTACTTGTATTGAGTTTACTTGTGTCAAATCAATGTCATTTAAGCCCTATTATTATAAATTCTCCTAAACAGACAAAAGAGATTTTAACCATTCCAAGTTCTCAGTGATCAGTTAAAGCTACAATTAAAAGCAAAAAAAATACCATTCTAAATTCTAATAGAATGGTGGGAAAAAAAGAAAAGCAGAAAAAGGGATTTGCTTCTCACCTCTCATGGATTTTATGAGCTGTTTATAAACTGAGCCATCTCTATACTTTCAAGCAGTCGACTTCAACCCCGCCAAACAGAAACAGAGGAGAAAATCAAACAATAAGCAAATGCAGCATCCGGCTCGCTAATCAGCAGCCATGAATGGGTCCGTTTCACCAAGTTCAGCAACCAAAGGTTCCAAATCTTCGGAGTTTTCATCCTCGGGAGCAAAATAGGTAGGAAAGGGGAGAATGGATCTATCAGGTTTCTTGAAATTTGCATCTTTTATAAAAACGAAGTTCCCTTCAGCACCCGGAACCTGAAAAGCATGAACAACATATAATAAGGACATGCTGATAAGAACTGTGGATTCGCTATGGTACATACACAATTTTTTTATCTACAAATTTTCATCTGTTTTCTTTGGACCTAGATAATGAAGGCCATGTTCAAATCAGTTTCACGGAAATAATTAACTGAACCAATTATTTTCCATGAGGCCATGAGGCAAGAATCCACTTTAGTTTTGAAACCCTCTACTGAGAAATAATTTCAACCACATTTGTACAAGTACGCAGAAGATATGATCATCAACATTCAGATAAAAGACTACATTAAAAAGTAACTCTGTATAATCATGGCTTTGGCTTTTGGGGTATGGGTTCAAAATCTGGCATTGGTCTTTAGTGTTTTTTTTAGTTTAGGTTTCAGCCTAAACTGTTCGTTTTAGCTTTTGGTTTGGCTACTGCAGCCCGTGGCAAGGACTTTCGGTTTTTGTACTTGGGTTTTTGGTTTTAGGGTGTAGACTCTTTCATTTTTCCTGAGGAGCTTTGGCTTGGTCCTCCCCTCTTGTAGTTTGCTTTCTCTTGTTTTTTCAATAAAAATGTTTTTTCTTTTATAAAAAAGTTACTCTGTATAACTAGTTTAAGAAGACTTTAGAAAAGGGATGGAGATGTAGAAACACGTACTTGACCTCTAACCCACATCAAGTTTCTTGCAGGATCAATTTTGTAAACCCACACATTTTTAACGGTCCTTTGCGCTCCACCCATCCTACCAGGCATCTTTCTTCCTTTAAACACCTGTCCGAAAAGACACAGGAAAATAAGCAAATTGCATAAACAGATGTCTGAACAGATATAAAAACTGAAAAACCAGAATATTCAAATAGCACAACAAAATGTGACGCTATAATGCAAAAGCCCATTAGATAAGGTTTCTTGTCCTATATGACCATAAACAATTTGATTATAGAGTATCCCATGATTTACATCCTTTTGGCCTTGCAGTATGAACAAAAATATTCTGTGTAGAGCAATCTTGCATGAATCATAAACAAAAATATTTGCATAATTGATATTGTTCTCTTTTTTAAAGAAACCATAAATACACAATTTCATTTTCTTAATAAGCATGTGAAGTCAAATTTTAAATAAAAAAAGCTACATTGAATTTAGTAACAGTTAAGCAAAACAAAAAAATGTGGCAAGACAAAACATATTAAGAGTTAGTACATTTTTTAGTGCTATTGACCCGATTACAATGTAGTATCTGTCTCAACCTAATGACGCACAATGAGTCAATGCCTCCGCCTCCCCGGGGGCTCGAACCACGGTGAACTTCACCATGAATCTTGGGGAGTGGACTTCCTACCACTCGGGCCAAGGGAGAAGTTCATAGTGTTAGTACATTTAATGCTCTGTATTATTTAAAAATTTAACAAGTATGCTACAATTTGGAACTAAAACAAAAAAAATGAACAAAAAAATCCAAAAGAAAATGAACAAAAAAATCCAAAAAAAATGCTCTCTCTCTCTCTCCCTCTCCCTCTCCCTCTCCCTCTCCCTCTCTCTCTCTCTCTCTCTCACTCACACACACACACAACACCATTTTTGTAACCTATCCCAACCAACAACAGCAAACAGGATAGATCTGACTAGGCACTCATTAGAAAAACACAATCTTGTTGTTGAGATTCATTCAAAATAAAGATAAAATATCAACCCTACAATTTTATCCTTAAAAGGAAAGAACCCTATTTGGGGACTGAAGAAAAAGGAAAAAAGAACCTTTTTTAGGACATAGAGAGTATATCTAAATCCAACTTTCACTTATCTGTCTCGAAATAAAGTTCCACAATTGACCAGGCACAGTTACTAATAAAGGTGAAAGTGTGTGGCTGAGTTTTGGGACAAACAAAAAATGGAAATATGAAACCTTTTTTATGGAGCAACGGGAGTATTCGTAAGCACCTTTATCAACTAGAAAAGAAATTACCCATCAAGGTCTAGTCACAACCTTAATTGTGCTAGTGCAGTAAAGACATAATATGGGTAGGCTGCTTGACCACTTGTGTTGCACCCTCTGCCCCCAAAAATTTACATTTTCCATTTTAGGCTATCCCAATTTTTTCTCTCTGTTTATTCAAGGAAATATTTGCATGATTGATGTTGTTCTCTTTTTTAAAGAAACCACAACTATACAATTGCATTTTCTTAATAAGCATGTGAAGTCAAAATTTTAAAAAAAAACAAAAGCTACATTGAATTTAGTAACAGTTAAGCAAAACAGCAATTGTGATAAGACAAAATTTAAATAGAGTTAGTACATTTTATAGTGCTATTGTTGACTCGATTACAATGTAATATCTGTTCATTCTTTCTCAACCTAATGACGCACAATGAGTCAATGCCTCCGCCTTCGCTGGGGCTTGAACATCGCCAAGGGAGAAATTCATAATGTTAGTACATTTTATACTCCGTATTTTTAAAAAATTTAACAAATATGTTGAAATTTGGAACTAATACAAACAAAAAACGACAAAAAAATCCAAAAGTTCACTGGCTCAGTGGCTCTAGTGAGCATTTGGCATTTTCAGTGAACTTGTGTGAATGTAAAGGCAGATCCATTTTATGTATATGGGGAAAGGCCCCATTGAGTTGGGAAATTTTTCTGATATGTGTACTTAAGTCCCAACAAAAACATATTTGTGCCCCCAATTGGTTTGAGAATTTCTATTGTGCCTCAATCTAATGTTCCATATTAAACCCCAGCTTGCTCCCCTATTCTCCTCTTATACGCCATTTGTTGTTATCTACGAGAGAGTGAAACAATTAAACAAAACCACTTCTCAAGTCTTCAGTCCTGCACAATAGATGGGACAAACAAACAAGCAAGTTGCTGGAAACGAGCAGGCCTCTGGCAAAATCCACGATGGAAATGAGGCTATATGTGGTCACCCCAACGACGCTCGAGGAGCAAAACGCAAGGTAAAATGTGCCCTCAGTAAAATTTTGTTCTGAAACTGTCTCTTTGTGGATTTTTATTGGCCTTCAAGACAAAGTTTTATATTAAACCCCAGCTCGCTCTCCAACTCTCCACTCATACGTAAAGAGAGAAAAACAATTAAACGAAACCACCTCTCAAGTCTTCACTCCTGCACAGTGCACACTAGCTGGGACAAACAAGCAAGCAAGTTGCTGGAAACGAGCAGGTTTCTGGGAAAATCCACGTCGGAAATGAGGCTACATGCAGTCACCCCAACCATGCTCGAGGAGCAAAACACATGGTAAGATTTCCCCTCTGTAAAATTTTGTTCCGATGCCCCCTGTGTGTGGGCGTGCAGTGAGGTGGGAGGGAAATATGTTGAGGAAAATATGGAAATACCATTTGATGAAGTCTTGCATCTTGCAGTAGGTGTGGGTTTTTATGGGAAGGCTAGAGTGCAAATGTACGAGTAAGCTATCCCAGCAACAACAAACCAAGTTAGAGGTGGGTGTATGCAAACACAAAATACCTCGCTCCTACTTAGGAAAGGTGGTTGTTTCCATAAGACCCATCCACAAACACAATAGACAAATGCTAGTACAGTATAACAGATAAAAGGAAACGTAATGGATAAACGGTAAACCAGACAAACATCTAACTATTCCTGAAGACCCCGCACACATAGAGAACCATCCCTGTCTTGACCTACCCTACAATTGTATCCTCGGCTACCAAACGCTCATATATAGAGGGTTATGCCCTAAGTCAGCTCTCGCAGCCGGAAACACCCCTCTAATCACTCTCAAAGCTGCAAGCTATCCCAAAAAGGGTCCATAGAGAAAATGCGATAACTATGTTGGCGATAACGTCATTCAAGTAATAAATTTGGACTCCAAAGATGTTAGTATATCTAAGGTTTCGATAAGTTTCCTCAAATGTAAGAAAGAAATTGACTAAAGTGATCTTTTAAATTTAAATACTATTCCGAAAACATGAAAGATGATTCATCTTTATTAAAAACAGAGATACAGATGCTAAACCAAAGGGACAATGTAAAAGGATGTGACCAACCTTTCCAGGGGCATCTCTCTGACCAGTAGACCCAATACTCCGATGCGATAGTGATGCACCATGACTCGCAGGCATACCCTTCATACCATGTCTTTTCATTCCACCCTAAAAATTGAGAACACGAAAAAAATACATTTTTATAATTTTGGACAATATAATAAATGGTCTTGAAAAAAATAAGTGAGGCATAGGAAGAATATTTTTAAAGATAACTAGGCAAAAAAATAAAGGCAAACAAACCACACCACACAACATTTTTTAAGTTTATAAGTAATATAAACTAAAAGATGGAGATATCCCAATTGGTGATCATTTTGAAATATTAGTTGTATCATACAAAAGATGGAGATGTTGAACAACAACTCACCGAGTAAATGAAAGTTGATTGAACTGGAGAAGAACCTTTGAACTAAGGGGATAATTCTACAAAATGATAATTCCCAACACTGTTTTATACTTTTATGGTGCAAAATGTTGGGTTGCAAAAGAGTGTCATATTATGAAGATTAAGGTAACTAAAATATGTTTGCTATGATGGATGTGTGAGCACACTAAAATAGATACAATAATAAGTGAGATTATCCAAAAGAAGGTAGAAGTGTCGTCTACTGATTATATATTGAGAGAGAATTGATTGCAATGGTTTGGACATATAAAACAAGATGACCTAGTTACTGCAGTCATTTGCAAGTTACTTGTGATTTCTTGTAGTTCTAAAGCAAATAGTAATGCTCCTAATCAAAATGCACAAAACAGAATCAGGGACGGCCACATGCCACAAGAATGAGTGAAATTTAGCTTCAAGATGGAAGACAACAGCTTTAATAAAGCTCAAGTACAATATCTGGATAAAAATAATCATTTACCGCAAACCCTTTGCCTCTCGTAATGCCAGTGACATCAACAAACTGACCGGGAACAAAATGGCGAACTCCAATGGAAGTACCAACAGGAAGAAGAGCATCCTCAGAGACAGGGAACTCTTTTAATTTTCTTTTCATGGGCACACCTTGAGCTCTAAAGTGACCTACTTCAGGCTTGGTCAAGTGCTTCTCCTTTTTATGGCTGCATCCAATCTAGTAAGACAATCAATTAACAAATATAAAGTAAAACAGCAAAACAGCCAATCCAACTCAACTGACCCTGTTTCTAGAGGAGTATGAAATGGGTGTAATTACTTTAAACTAACTAATGGGTAATTAGCATTTTGGAAAAGTTGTCAGTGGTATCCTTTAGATTTAGTGTTTGTTTTGAAGATAACCTGCACCTTTAAAAAAACAATTCAAAGTTTAACCTTCACCATTACGAAACTATCCAAAAAAATAATAACAAAAGCAGTTGGGCCTGATAGAGCGAACCTGAAGGGCAGAGAATCCTTCCTTCTCGGGCGTTTTAACCTGGGAAACAATGTTATCCTCCAGCCAGAGAACAGTGATGGGAACCCGAGCGCCCCACTTGTCCCATAGGGCGGTCATTCCACATTTGACGGCGATAGCGCCGGTGCGCTTCGATTGGCTGGTCATGACTCGGGGCTTCGCCTCAATTATCCGATTGGATACCTCCTCGGCCTCGACAGCAACGGTGCTCAAAGCCCTCCATGGCTGCTGCGCCGGGGAAGCTGGAGTGACTGCGCCCGTCCTTTGAACGATCGAGAAAAGCCGGAGACGAGAAATGAGACCTCTCGAAGCCGCCGACATAATAGCGATAGTTGGTCGATTCAGTGATTCTCTCTTCCGATTCCGACTGGATTAAAGTATTACAGATGCATTGATTTCGTGGTGCAATCAAATCCTGTAACACTGTGGGGAAAGTTGGGATGCCGGAGGCGGGAGTGACGAAACCGACGGCGAGGGGATATGGCGTAGGGTTTTAGACGTTACAGTGGAGATTCAATCTCTTTTAACAAAAAATATTTTATCTGTTTTAAAATGTTTTGCGGAATATGAAATTTAAATATTCTAAAATTAATACTTTATATTATTGAAAGATTGATATATGAATTAAAAATAAAATTTGCACATTTAAAAATTAATTATATTCCAAAAGTTATACCAAACTAGTGATAAAAATATTTTATTTACACCTTGGTTCCCATGACATTGGGAGCCAAGTCATGGGATGACCCGAGGGCGCTCCAGTGCCCCGTTCGTAAAATTGACGGTTCCTACCCCTCCTAACCCCCCGGTAAACCCCCACCCAGCCTCGACCCGAACACACCCTCACCCTCTTCAATTGCCACTTAGACTGAGTGTTATGTGTGTCTTGCACCCCGACACTGTTAGAACTTTAAAAATGCATCATCTCATCTTTGGAGTAGTAATGGACTTACTATTGAGGATGCATGCCTCTAAATATCTAGAGACGTTTTACAATCTAGGACACCTAACTTTGAGTCAAAGTTTAACTTTGCAACATTGTTGCGTTGAGAATTTATGTCACTTTCGACCTGTATGAACGATTCTACAAAACTAAAGTGAGGATTTGATAGTCTTTCAGGAAAGTTATTCGCTCTATATCTAGGACACCTAACTTTGAGTCAAAGTTTAACTTTGCAACATTGTTGCGTTGAGAATTTATGTCACTTTCGACCTGTATGAACGATTCTACAAAACTAAAGTGAGGATTTGATAGTCTTTCAGGAAAGTTATTCGCTCTATACAAGTTTTGGATATTGTCACATTTTTAGATTTATTCATGACCAAGTTATATGAATAACATTCTAGTCAGAAAATGAATAATGAATAATATAACTTGTAAAAATAAAAATGTTTGATAATTTTTTTTGTTAAACCAAATTAGAAAGAAGATAATGAAAAACCACATATGACCAAACCAAAAAATAACAAATCAATTATAATATGTTTTAGCCACGAGAAGTTGCGTGATGCACGAATTATTACTACTAGATAAGTCGCTCTTGGGCGCCCAAACTCTTCTTATCAAACAAATTGCTTGATGCACAAAGCTGGCTGGACGCACGAAACTACCCAGATAGTAGCGATGAGTAACATCATGGAATATTCAAACAAGAGAAACATGTATAGGAAGGTTTTGTTCAATTATAAAACACGTTGGAAAATGGCACGTGACATATTTAAAACAATGAAATAAGGTTAGCCCAAATGTTACACACTCCCATAAACACTCTCGATGCAAAGATCGTATAACACCTATTCGAGACAAATTTTAAGTAGCGGTTGGTCAGCAAAATGCCTGATCGCGCAAACGAGACTTATGTAATCACACGCTCCATAACGAATACCAAGTAATACAAGAAAATGTAACATAAGAAGTTCATCTAGGCATTACAAAATCTCCAGATACGGTATGCATAGTATGCATTGTGATTTGTGAAAAAAAATTATCCAACTAGATTATAAAATATATCAATACTATTAAACATGGCAGTCATGCGATGTTAAAATGTATCATTAAGGAGGTAAATATATCGTAGGCAAATGGGGCGGAATAACCCATTGGTAACATCAAATAAAACATCACGGCATAGTTTTCCTTGCAAGTGGGTTACACTAAAAAAGTCTAGTCACTTCCATCAACATCATAGACGAAAATGAATGTAGGACATGCTTTTTGCTTCCTCAAAATTTTATCCATGACCTTTGTGCATCAATCTAAGCTAGATATACCCTAAGGTCTCTTTTAAAATTATAGAAATCTACAACAATAGCTCCTTGATAAAGGTGATCTTTAAACAAAAGATAGGATTCTATTGTATAAAGGTTCACTTTAGCACATAATAACATAAATCTTTTATAACCAATATCCATGTTTCTATTAGTTTTAAGAAATGGCTTCAACTGGATTGAAGACAAATGATGGTTGTGACACTCCTCAAAAGATGTAATCTCATAGACATTGGATCTACTTAGTCTCTGCGGAGCTTGAACCCGACACAATTAGGAATGTATTGTCTCATCTTAAAGTAGTAGTGAACTCGTTTTCATTGATTGGAACTAGAAGGCTCTTTTGAAAAAAATTCTTAAAACCCAGCCTAGTGCATAAAATGTACTTCCACACACTAATGCCATCAATGATCAAATAGTCGTGCTCTGGCAAATATCAAATTAATTCAACAATCATTCGAGTGTGAAACTTTAAGAATCTAATACTTTGTGGATCCAAGGGGGACTTATATGTTTCCACCATCTAGATTTTCATTGGCGTTTGCATCCTATATTGAGCACTACACGAAAACAGGTGAAAACAATAACACGGTAAGAACAATCATGAACAAAAGGCTAAATGCTAGCAAAAACAATAACGTAAACTAAAAACACATGAAACTCTTTGTACATGAACCTGAAATGTTTGAATATTGATTGTTATCATCCTAAATTGATAAACTCGTGAATTAAAGATGTACCAAGACGTATAGGGAAACACAATAAAGACAATGCTATATACTCCGTAAGTGACTAAAGAGTGGCTGAACAATGAGGAATGAGCCACACCATAAGAAATAAATGAGCATGAAAATGAATGATCAATTGCCATTCTCTATTCTTACATAATCTTACATTTTCACTAAAATCAAACAAAAGAGCAATTGCCAACAAGTGGTAGTAACAATTGCCAAAAAAAAAGAACAATCTGTAAAAAAACAAAAACAAAAAAGTGGGATAGTTTATTTTCTGGCTTGATGCATTCCATTTGCCCATATTATACCCTTTTATTTTTTTTATTAAACAATAATTAAAATTAAATAAATAAAGCCAACAGGAAAAAATAAGCAAAAACAATTGATATAGCTGTCACTGCAGTGACTTGTTTTCTGTCTTCTTCAGTCTCTTGGGGTGAGCTCTTAGACCTGGGCTGTAAGGAGCTCTTCACTACGGCAAACGCTCAAATCATTACATAACTTTTTACACAACTGCAACACGCAAATATTTTGTCTCTTTTCAGTTTCAAGTGAAATTTAATACAAGAAACCCATAATTTATAAGAAGAATCCAATGAATAAAATATGGTTAAAGAATAGTTCAATGCCTGTCTATAAACAAGGGAGTCCCCATGCGATTTCAGCAGCTCTACGACGTACCAGGAAGGGCTGATTTCAAACACCTGTGTTTTGTGCAAATGAAACCATATATGTTATCATTATATGGTCATGTTTTTTTTGTTAATGGTAAAACCATGATTCAATAAATGGAGTCCACTTACTTCTGCAGCTACTAAGAGACTTTGAGGGCTCTTTTCAGCTGTGTTTCTCTGGATCACTTTCAGCTAAAGAAATGCCAACACCAACCAGACACCATAAGCATCATACCGATTAGCAATTGGGAGCTATCTACTTCCTAGCAATTACTCTGCTTCTACCTTTTATGTTTTGGACTCAATCTGTTTCTTTTAGAGGGACCATGTTGGAATATTGAGGAGAAAATGATGGGTTTTTTTTACTTAAAGTGTGTGATGACCAGTTGATGTGGGCTTCTAACACCTTTTTTTAAAGTATTAATGGCACTACGAAAAAAACTTTGTGCTAGTTTACTTTGTCTTTGCCTTTGCTTTTGTGTTTGAGCCAGGGTCTCTTGGAAACAGGCTCTCTACTTCCAACTAGAAGTAAGGTATGCGTATATATATCCTATTCAGATCCTATTCTTGTGAAATTTTACTGGGTTTGTTGTTGTTGTTGTATAAATCTTGGAGGGAAGAGGGTGTACCTTTCCATGCTTTCTTTGGGTTTGAAATCCCATATTCGTTACTGTATTTTCAATCCTCTCGAACAGCTCTCTCGGAGCGAGGTTGGATGTAAACCTGATCTTCCTTTCCGAGACGTCCTGCAACAAATCAACCAAAGTTTCCATGATTTATGGATTAGTAAGACCTCGTTTTGCAACGATTATTTGGCTGGCCAAAAAATCTTTTGCAAGTCAAAAGGCAAAAGCCACTTATTTAGCTTATGAAAAGAAAATCTCCAAATGGTATTCTAAGTTTCCATGTCCTACATAGAAAAAAGGGGTTTTTTTGTCACTCTAAGATATCACTAACCTCTTTCTCAAAGAAGCCTGAAAGATCCAAACAGGAAGACATTCCAATCAGCTGAAAAGCATTAATAAGTGTTGGAGGTGATTCGGGATATCTCTCTCCATCCAGTGGAGCTTCATTTACTGCTAAGATTTCACTATCAATGGCTGCATTGTCTTCTTCTTCTTCGGGATTTGCAGGACAGTACCCTAGTTTAAACCACTCATGTTCTTTGATCTCAGCAATGGTTATACGCGTACTTGGGTTGGGATCCAGCATCCTCTTGATGAGGTGGCGTGCCCCCGAAGATAGTGATTTTGGGATATGAGCATCACCCTTGAATATCTGATTGATTCGCTCAAGAAGTTACCCAATGCCCCAAAAAGTGTATTGATATTAAACAGGCTTAACACAAAAAATAGCAGTGACAACCTTCTGATAAAGCACTGCTAGATTTCGATCATCAAAGGGTAAATATCCTGTGAGAATAACGTACAAGATGACACCGACCGACCAGGTATCTGACGTGGCGCCATCGTACCCTCTGTTTGAAAGAATTTCAGGCGCAACATAGTTGGGACTTCCACACGTCGTGTGCAGCAACCCGTCGTCCTATACTTGTCATTCATCAATAGCAGAAGAAGGTTTTGAATTTTAACAATCCCAAAAGCATATGATACCATTTGATAATAATTAGTCTTATTGAATAATAAAGGTACCATCGCTATATATAGGAAATACAAAGAGAATCATATATAAGAGTCTGGACTTAGTAGAGCAAAAAAGACATACCCTAAAATGTTGAGGTAATGCACTGAGGCCAAAATCTGTGATCTTAATTCTCCCAGTCCCATCAGCCAGCACATTTTCTAGCTGCATGTTTAAATGCATATATTATGAGGATAATATATGAAGGAAATTCAAAAATTAGTTACTAATATATTCCATCTGCCATGCAATGGAATTCCCAATTTGACCTCATGTAGTTTTAGGCAAGATAATTTTTATTGACTTTCCCATATTGCCCCTATATTCAAGTGAAGAAGTATACCTTAAGATCTCTGTGGAAAACTCCTTTGCTATGGCAGTAGCCAACACCATCAATCAACTGCTGGAAGACCTTCCTACCTTCTTCCTCAGAGAGTTTGCCTTTGGATACCTAATAAGGCCAGAGCAGAAGAGAGAGTATATAAGTGTAAAGTTTAGGCTGAGAATAAGGGAAGTCTTAGCCTAATAAAGATTCACTTCATTTCATCAAGCTCAGTTTCAAGATCAAGAAACTTACTATTCGGTCAAACAACTCTCCCCCGCTCACGTACTCTAGCACCATGAATATCTTTGTTTTGCTCGCCAAGACCTGTTCATTTCGTTACGAGCGACAACGAGCATCGCAATGTGAGAAAAGAGCGAATGTGTGGTGAGCCAAGCATGCCAGCCAAAAGACTTCATTTTCAATGAGCAAATAAATGTAGGTTTTCAATGTTGATCACACACTTTCTTGGAGAGAAAGCTCTTAACAGCAGGTAAAAGACTGGAATACATAAAAGAGAACCACAAGTTATTTATTCTTTCCAGTTTTGACAAACTGTATAGACAAAACTCGCTGGTCAGACAATATTTGTTTGTGTCAACGCACATAAATTTGTCTGTGGAATGTTAGAACGGCTAGGTTCCCTTAACATTTGGAATTTTGAGATGTGAGGTTCATAGAATTGACAGTTCTTTAACATACTACAAACCTCATCTGTTCATTTTTCACCGTCAACTGGCAACTGTAGCCAATCATTCTCCATCCCATAATATTCATTCTCAATGTAATTAAGAACGATCAATTTTACGATTTGCCATCCCATAATATTCATTCTCAGTATAAAAGGAACGGTGGTAATTTTTAAAATGGAATAATATAAGGGAGACCTCTTTGTATAAGACTAAAAAATTTTGAAAACACTAAAATAAGAACCCTAAATCTTAAAATCTTACACTCTCACAATCACGGCATTAATACACTGCAATTGTTGCACTATCACTGTCACACCCCCTTTTATCACCACATGCACTGTCATCTCTTTTTTCATCGCACTGCCAATACGTAATCTCACATCACACTGCCACTATACTCATATTTTTGTCCTAAAAGAGTTTAGACTTTTTTTTTTATATTTTTATACTTTTTTACTCTTATCCAGAAATATTTGTTTGTGGTACATCTTTACTACACGACAAAAGATGATCAGTTCAAATTAAAAAATGTCTATATTCACCTTCCCGGTCCCCATGCACTATTCAATTACACATGATAGCCCTCTAGTTCCAACATATGCGGCCATATTTGTTGAAACTTTCTTTTTCTTTCCTTGTCCACCTGTCCCTAACGGGAACCACTGTTGCAAAGTATGACTTTCATGAGTGATTTGTCCATTTCTTTTTTTTCAGATTCTAATTATTAAAACAAATATTCTATTTACCTTGTGACCTCCCATTTGCAATATAGTATTTGTCCTACTGAAACATGTTCCAACTTTAACCTCTCATATCGTAGAATAACAGTGATGCCGATGGACTACAAAATCTTTTTAGCCACTTTAAAGTGTTTAATTTGATGTTTAGATTTAGAATGTGAAATTTATGATATGTAAACTTGATCTCTTTTCCTAGATAGTACTTAATTAATACAAAGTACTCCCTACATTTACAGCATAGAAAAAGGTTTTTATATTTTAGCAATATCTTGCATGAGAGTTTGTTCTCTTCCCATGATCTGATTTAATAGTAATTATATTTCTCTTCCATAAAAATATGTAATACTTCCTTCGTCCTAAAAAGAATACCACATCATGCAAAATAAAGTGAAATTTCAAGTTTTAAATTTCATTTTATTTAAGAATTAATATGGAAATAAGAAATAAAACTTGCATATTTAAAAATTATGTCAAAAGTTCTACAAAACAAAAATGACAAAATATTTTATTTATAAAACAGTCCATGATAATATAAAAATAATCATAATTTTTAAATAGCAAAATGTAAGATTTTTTTCGAGGAGAGAGGGTAAGTAATAGGAATAAATTGGAACAACTATCTTAACTTTCGGGGGAGAACGCAAACTGAAAAGTTGAGTAGGGAGGTATAAGCTCCATTTGGCATCAGCATTAAAGATTAGCGTTGGTGTTATGAAAAAAATTATCTAACTGTAGTTTTTAGTGTTAGCATTTTTAAGATTAATCTACACTATTAATATTTTATCCAAAACGTTAATGTTAATCAAAAATATTGTTCCCAAACAAGGTCATAGGCTGAACAGCAGAGACTAAAGTCATGAAATGGATAATCTGAGGGGGCTCTCGGGGATGAGGCTCATCCTTTTTTTATGAAATGGATAGTCTGTGCCGGTGGGCATTACGCAGTTGGCAAGACAAGAAATGTCAAGGGGGTAATACACGAGTTCGATTCCTGGCAACTGCGCTGAGAGGCAACTATGTTAAGCATAGGGCCTCTGCAAGCAGCATGTGCAGGCTCTACTCTTTGCCACCAATTTGCGATTAAAGTCCAATTTATCACTTTTCAGTGACAGTCCAGCCATGTCGAGAGGGGCCCTCAAGAATGGGGCTCATCTTTTTATATGAAATGGATCGTCGGTGTGGGTCCTGTATATAGATTTGACCTTAGAAGCCCGATTCCGGTGATTGGTTCATTTATGACAACGTGGCCCACTTACCACTAACAGAAATTAGGTGTGACCCGGCGAGAATCATGCATCCATTGGCCATTGCCAATAAGTGTGGGGCACACAAGAGATGTGTGGCAAAAGAAACTTTGGGACCACATTTAGGACACCATATTTTAATTACAAAATGAGAATTACACACTAGTGCATCAATAAGAACTAAAAGTTACATATTTCTTCCGTCTTAAAACAATCTTTCCATTTTTGTTTGCGAAGTTTGAAAGATTTTATTTTGAATTAAATTTATTTGATTATAGGTGTAAAATTAAAAAATAAAATGTATATACTTAAAAATTACATCAAAAGTTCTACAAAAAAGAGGTAACAAGACTATATTATTTTATCAAATAACTAACAAAAATAGGTAAATAAAGTGGTTAAAGTTTGACCATGTAAATAGAAACTGAGAAGAACGATTTAGAACCTCTCAAATTTCATAAAACAAGAGATGAGAAGAATATTTTATTTCATCAAATAATCAATGAAAATACACAAATAAATAAAAATTATCTAGAGGAGAGAGAAAAAAAATTTGTATTCAAAATGAGAACGGAGGGGGGAGAAAAGTGGTAAGTGTACACAAACTTTGAATCCTAATTTACAAACTAATGTATCGCAAACACAAATAGATAATCATTGTCTATACATGCACAGATAATAGTTATCTGTACATGTCTATAATACACTGGTGTACGAATTGAGGTACTGCGCTTAGGGTATCTCTAACGCAACCCTTTTTTTATATCAAAGGCCAATATAAATTTTACTCTGTAACTATTTGTATGAATGTGTTTATAAGTATTTATATTTATCTTCCGTGTTAAAAGTTGTGTTACAAGTGAATTTCTCCTAGTACTATCCATGGAAAAAATGTCTCATGAAATAAGTTTAAAAATAAGTTTAGAAATAAGAAGGTATGTTAGTGCCAATTATCCAAACCACATAGTACATTGTACCATTTGACCCCATTTGATGTACCTTTTTTAATACTCCAATTAAGTACGTGAAATTTGAATGGGTTTGCAAGTGGATACCGTGTACGCTATGTAAAGTTGAAAGTTTGAGTTCCACTGGTCAATACTTCGCTCCTTCAAATTCAAAAGCTGAAGCAAAGAAATGATTGGAAATATCTTTGCCTTTCATGACATATATAGTATTGATTTGGTTTTTAGTGTTTACAAGTATTATACATCCAATCTAAGATAACATCTGTGTTTTCGTCTATTAAATTTATTCATAAAAAAAATTGTATGATTATAATTTATTTAAAAAAGTGATTAAGTTAATGTGAGTTGGGGATTCATTTCTATATGATGAGTATGTAGTCTTATATAGGCAAATCCTCATGTGCACTTTTGAAGCTATCCATGTTCTCCAAACATAAGGTAATTTTATGGTTGCCATGGACAGGCACAAACAAATAGATCACAAAATTCACAAACTTGCCTTTTTAACATTTTCTTAGAAATAAGATGCACCAAATAATAAAAGATATTTTAATTTAAAATCCATAAAAGTAAAGTTTGTGAAGTTTGTGAACTATTTGTTTAGGACTCTAGCATTTTCCTTACACTATCATAAAGTTTTATTTAAAGATAGATGAAGTAAACACGGTGTACTATCTATCCCAAATTGAAACGACTTTGTACATGGTTTTAAAAAGGTGAAATTGTGTAGTTGAAAGTGATGCGCAAAAAAAAAGTGAGTCATAAAAAGCTTTCCAAAAAAGAAAAATGAAAGATTAACTTGAGACAACCTAGAAAGGAAATAGGGAAGATTAATTTGGGACGAAGGGAGTATAATTTTTTCGTCCTAAAATTTTCTTCCCGTATTGATTCGATATAGTGGTTAAAGAGTAAAATTATGTAGAACTAGATGTATGGTTCTGGTCTGATGGGAATAAGTTATAATCTAGTCTGTTATGATTTGATATAAATGTAGTTATGTTTAAAACTGTTTATGATCTCATTCCAATAAGAATAAGTAATAATTGAAAAATAAGTTTAGGTCATGTTATTTTCAACTTATTCTTATTACTTATTACTCTTTCTTATTGGAATTAGTTCAGATCAGAAATAGGTTTAAATATAAGTACATTAAGATCATATCAGGCTAGATCCGATCAAAACTTATTTTAATTAGATCAGAAGCAGTTAAATAAATAACCTTAACAGGGATCAATCATGAAAAAGTGGAGAAATAGGAAAAAAAGGGAAAGGAAAAAAGGGAGATGGGCAGAGAGTTATGTGGCCACTAGAGAGGCCAAGAATCCCAATCCATGTAAAACAGGTAAGATTGCAGAGACGCCATAAATGCAAACAATGAATACAGAAGAACTAAGCAGTTATTGTACCTCGTGAAGCCTGACCACATTTGGATGTTTAAGAAGTTTCAAGGTTCCAATTTCTCTCTTTATCTGCATATTTTTTTCATATTTACAACAACCAGACAAATAAAATAATTGGTACATAAATTTGCAATCAACTCATCTTAACTAATGTAGACTCTACAACCAATTAAAGGATAGAATCACAAGTGTAATTTGATCCACAATAGATTTCCTTTGATTCCTGAAAACTCTTTCTGTTTTGACTTTTTTGGTCAAATATTGAGAAAAGCACATTGAATTACTGGATATAGTTTTCATATATCAATTTTAATAACATTTATTTACTTGGATGATTCTTAGTTTGTAGTAAAAAAGTGTCACTATTTGATAAAAAATGTAAAACAAGAAGAGTTTTCAGAGGCACAGAAAACTCTTCTTTTTCACTCCATAAGTGGAAGATGAACTTTTTTTATCGAACGGAAAAAGAAATTGTAGAGCTTTTTAATGGAACGAGGAAATATTTTAATTAGAGAATGTTTTGGCTTATGAACAAATTAGCAACAGTAATGAGCATATTTTTTTGGGCCATGCTACACTTACTCCAAAAATTGTACACCATTTGTACACCGCAGTTATACACAAACATTTTGATGGTTTACACCGACACAAGTGTTGGTGCGTTAACAAAAATTTACAAAGACACAAAGTGTTGGTGCGTTAACAAAAATTAGTTTTGCACCAACACAAAATATCGGTGCAAACCTGCGGTGTATAAATGGGGTACAAAAGTTTGGGGTAGAAATAGCTTTATCCTATTTTTTTTCTTTAAGAACGAGAGTATAAACATTGGAGTGTAATATATCCAATCTCTTTCACGTTCAGTGAAAGTTTGTCGGCATTGGAATTTGGAACAGAGAGAGAGACGTGTATGCAACACGATATTGGGCCCATTGGTGGACCTTGTGTTGTTGGGCCCTTTGGCCTCGCCCAACCCGGTAGATAGCTCGGGTGTCTCTTACCCATCATCTCTAAGGTTGATAAACTACTCTTGTTTTTTTAATAAAGAGAATGTTACTTCTCTCCCCCATAAAATTTTTGACATTTTTATTTCAAAGAATTTAAGAAAATTGTTCAAAAATACAAAAAAAAATGCGGATAGAATTTATTTAGAAAAGAGAGAATTTTTGGCAAGTGCTTATTCATTACCAAAATAGGAACTAAAATAAGTATAAAATATTTTAAAGACATCTAGAAAACTAAAGTCTAAAGGATTGTGTGAGACGAAGAGAGTATTTAATCTACTCTCTGGCCTTTCAGAAAAAGTAATTTAATTTAATTTTACGAAATTTAAGAAAAATGACACTCTTTATATCTCATACAAATCTTTTGCATTTGACTTTCACAAAATTTGAGAAAAGTATTGAAAAGTAAAAAATGTGTGGTAAGAATTTGCCAAACATTTTTTCTTAAAAAAGAAAGTGCATTTTTTTAACAGACAACAAAGGAAGGAAGAAAAACTTTCAGAGACAAATCTCTTAGAGACAAAGAGAAAATACTTCATAATAATTAGAAATGTTTAGATGAGAAAATTCACACCTTAATTGCTAAATAGAAAAATAGTACTCCCTCCGTCCTAAAAACGAAGAAAAATCCCAAGTTTTTTCAATCTATTTTATTTAAATATTGATATAGAAATAAAAAATAAAACATACATATTTAAAAACTATATCAAAAGTTCAACAAAACAAGTGGTGACAAGAATATTTTATTTTATCATATAGGCCATGAAAAAACACAAATAAATATAAATTCTCGTGAAGTTGGAATAGTGCTCTGGGAAGAAAGTTTTAGGACGGAGGGAGTATGATTTTAATTCCCTAAAAGATTGTCATCGTTAGATTTTTTGGTCAAAATGTGATACCCTTTGATCACGAATTATATCTAGTTTAAAATAATTAAATATTATAAAAATTTAATATTTCAAAACTATATTTTAAAATAGATGTAATTTTACTAAATTTACATTATAAATAAACATTTTTTTCCATAATTCGTGATCTAAGGGCGCTATAATTTGACCAAATAATTAAACTGTGATAATCTTTTAGGAACTAAAAAATATTTTTTATTCTGTAAAAATTAAAATTAAACCAACCTAGGACACTTTTTTTTATAGAAAGGGAGTGGTGCGGCCAATGTGAATCATGAAATCCAAAGATAAACAGAGTTTAAACTGAACAATAAATACGGCGTTAAAATAAGAACAGAAATGTGAATCGATAATCTATCAAAATCCACAACTCTGAAATTCAAGCGGAAATCGGAGAAGGAGACGGCGAATAGGCCGGACGGGTACCTGATCGGTGATACGGAGGTCAATGATGCGATTCTTCTCGAGGATTTTAACGGCGAAGGACTGGCCGGAGCCGACTTCCCGGGCGAACTTCACTTTTCCGAAATTCCCTTCGCCTAGCGTCCTCCCCAATTCGTACTTCCCGAGTCGCATTCCCTTGTTCGCCGCTGCTCCTCCGCCGTCCCCCGCCGTCCGCTTCGCTCGATCTCTGCAATCGCCTCCACGCGCTTGTACCATTTCCCGTGACAGCTCGATTCAGCTCTTCTTAAACTCGAGCCCGAAACCCGACGTGCTCCGGTGGTTATTTGTGCGGAGAACGACGGAGAGTGCCGGGGAATGCCGGTGAAATTTAACCGTCAACTACTCCCGTTCCCGGCGGACCGCTCCCGGCGTCCGTTTTATTTTATTTTATTTTTTGGTGTGATGCACGAGTAACTCATCGTGCCCTGAAGTTGCGGATTATATATATTACATATTGTGACTTGTGAGGCAACGTTCCCAAAATTAAGGTATCTAGCATAAGACTTCTGCAAATACCATGTGCAAAGTTTACTCCTGTCACCAATTTGTGATTAAAATTCAACCATACGACCGGGTCTGAGGGGACGCTTGGGTATGAGGCTCATCCTTTTTTGAGGTATGTAGTATTCCTTTTCATAAAAGAATGTCACAGTTTACTATTCAAAATTTCTCGTACTGTAATTCTGTTTATTTGCACGTTTTGGTTGAAAATTTCGCTAGTTTGACCAATCAAACACAAAAAATTACTCTGTAGTACCTCATGTTTTCTATTAAACACTAGCAACTCTCATACTATTAAATTTTACTATACATATTTTCAATTTTCTAATATTTACAAGTTTATAAACACATATGAGCTTTTGAAACAACTAAGATAATGCTCCATCTGTCTTCAAATGATCTTTCCGGTCAGTATTCATGTGGTCAAACTTTTATCACTTTCTTTACTTATTTTCGGAAGTTATTTTACAAAATAATATAGTCATTTCATCTCTTGTTTTGTAGAACTTTTGATATAGTTTTACATTATATAATTTTAATTATTTAATTTAACATCTATGGTCAAATATTGGACTGAAATTCATTTCACTCAAACCTTTGTAAACCGAATTGTGAAAATTATTTTAGGACGGAAGAAGTAATTATTTAAATTATTTTAGGACGGAAGAAGTAATTATGGATATATCCGAATCCGATTAAATATCCTAAACTGGTCAAGTAGCCAAATCCAATCGAATATCAATGTGTTCAAACCTGAAAACAAAAATGTAAGATGGGGGGGCAGAGGGATTTGAACCCAAGACCTCTGACCCTCAAGTTCAAAATTGTAGCAATCTAGACTAAATCAAAAGTTTGGTATTTGTAAATAGTGTATAATATATATTTATTTCTTAATACATGTTGTATTCTTATATATATATATATATATATATATATATATATATATATATATATATATATATATATATATATATATATATAATGAAAACTGACCTTGATACGTTATCGGCTTGAAACGTATGACCTTCGAGAGAAGACAAAAAAAGATCAAGGCTAAATATGTAATTTTTTGTCAATTCTGTAACTTTTCTGAAATGTAATATTTTTAAATGAATTTATGCAAATATATGTAATGTGCTCTTTGAAAAATACTATTATTCACCAACGCATTAATATGTATTTACTGCCCCGCCCCTCTCCATTGATTAAAAAAATGATAATTCTCTGCTTTATTATTAAAAATGTTAAATATAATATAATTCCAATACTATAGTCTTCCCATATTTATTTAATTTACTACAAGATCATTAAATGATAAAATAAAATATAATTCTAGTACTATATATTCTCATATTCTACAAAAAGTTTTATTTTTACTAGTGTTATGTGTCTCATGAATTCTCTATGAAATGAAAAATTTGCTTTATACTCCCCCCGTTCCCCAGTTTTTGTCCATTTTCATTTTTGCACACCATCCAATGCACTTCTTTAATCCATTTTATCTTGTGATTTGTATTTTAAAAAATTATATAAATTATATATTAATAATCTATATGTTAAGACAAATCAAACAAGATCACACATGATTATATTTAGGCCTACACATTGAGAGAATTTGATAAGTGAAAGTCCTTAGATGAACAGTTCCAAAAGTCAAAAGTGGACAAAAATTGGGGGACGGAGGGAGTATATGACTAAAAGGTTGTACTTTTCTTAGAATAGGATCAAATGTGTTTTATTCCATTTATGGCATATATTTCCATGTGATCTGCCATATATGCTATCAATATCAACAAATGTTGAATAATGACTGATTATACAAATGACTCTATGAATGTGATCATTTATTTGATAATGACTAATTATTTTAATGACTATACAAATTGTTTCAATAATGTTTTATTCTACATAAATTGTGTAATATGTCATTTTTTTCAAAGGCAGAACATTTTAGAACTTTCGATTGATAAACGATATTGATTCTCTTTTCTTTATAAATATTACAGTATAATAAAATCAACACTACTATACATCCTATGGAAACCTTGTAAAATTTGTATGTACATTTTTAAAAAATAGAAATATTGATACCTCTTTTTCAAATCATAGAGATACCGGAGCTATTTGGCCCTCGAGTTGATCCCATTTCGTATCAATCATATTAAGGTTACATGATTATAATTTTATGAGCCAGGGGTACACAATGGAGATGGAGCATGGGGTACATCATTTGGTGTACAACTTTTTTGTAATTTTATTTATTTCTTCATTCGATCAGTGCTATCTAAGCTAATATAAGTATCAAAATTGGACAACTCAACTTTTTATTTCTTAAAATTTGTCAGTAAACGCTGCGTAGTTGGTAAGACAAGAGATGTCAAGACATAATATTCCAGTTCAATTATGTTCTGACAATTATTCTGGAAAACAAGTATGTTAAACATGTGATCTCTGTAAGTATGAAATTTTGTATTCTATTTTAAATTGCATAAACACGATTCGGCAGTGTGGAGTAAGGTGAGTTTGTTGAAAAAACATAGACTTATCAAAAGTGTTAGGAAATGGATTAGATAATGCATATGAATGTACTAACACGTTTTTTAAGCACTTACACCAAAAATTGTATCTCATTTGTACACCGCAGTTGTACACAAACATTTTGATGGTTTACACCGACACAAGTGTTGGTGCATTAACAAAAATTTACACGAACACAAAGTGTTGGTGCGTTACGTTAACAAAAATTAGTTTTACACCAATACAAAATGTCGGTGCAAACCTACGGTGTACAAAATGGGATACAAAAGTTTGGGGTACAAATAGTTTTATCCTTTTTAAATTTACTTTCACTTTACTAGGTTTTTGGCAGCGTGTCCTTGTAACTTTATACCTACTTCTCATTTCATACTATTCCCTCCGTCCCATTATATTTATTCAGTTTGATTTTTTCGAGTCAAATATAATAAATTTTGGCTTCAATTAAGCAAAAGTTGTAACGTATATTAGTATAAAAATGATTTTATTAGATTTATCGTGTTGCGGACTATCAAAATCTTAAAGAGAAAAAAAAAGAACTGAGGTCAATGTGAAAAAATAAAAATTCAGATTTTGCAATTTGGTTCAAAGTAACCTCTTGGTCACCTGGTAATGGGCAAAAGGACTGTTAGTGAAGGAATGGTAAAAGTTCAGCTACTTTTATGAAAGGTTTTGAAGTGCAAGTATTAAATCAAAATTTTCGTGAAAATTTATATACCATTCTTAAAATTTACCCGTTTTGGTAGAACAAATCTCGTGGGTGTTGTGTAAATATACTTTGGTTAACCATGCATGTAACATAGCGTAGCTTCTCTACCAATAAGAATGGGATAAAGCTATTTGTACCCCCAACAATTTGTACCCATTTTGTACACTGCAAGGATGCACCAACATTTTTTGCTGGTGTAATGCTAATTTTTGTTAATGTACCAACATTTTTGTCAGTGCATACTTTTGGTATACAAATGAAATACAAATTTTGGGGTACATGTGGCATGCTCCATAAGAATGAGTTCAAAAAATAGTAGCAACAAAAATGCGAAGTGCATCCCAAGTTTGACACCGAGATTTATGAAAAACGGTATCTCTAATAATCCCTCCGTCACAAAATATTTGTCACACTTGCTTTTTCAGCAATCACGTGAACTTTTGTTTATTTCTACATTTTCATTGGTTATTTGATAAAATAAAATATTCTTGACACTTCATATTTCGAAAAATTTTTAAGTAGTTTTTTGATATATAAATTTTATTTTTTATTTCTATGCCAATATGTAAATAAAATGAATTGAAAAAAGTTGATATTTTGCATCGGGAATACAAGTGTGACAAATATTTAGGGACGGAGGGAGTATGTAACGTGTTTTTCTTTTAAGTTTTGATTGGTAACGATAAATAGTGGTAACATGTGTTGTCACTCTTAAGATGATGTTTTTGGCCATTTAAAAGCATACAAAGACGTGGTGTGGTGCTTGTTGTGACTACTGGTTCATGTCATGTTGCGGGTCTCAGGATCCGTTCCGTAAGACTTATTTAGTCTAATTATTATTTGTTCTTATTAAAATCAGATCAGACCAGACCTAATCAGATCAAATCAGATCAAATCAGATTCAATCATATCAGATCAGATCCTATCAGATCAGATCAGACCCAATCAGATCAGATCAGATCCAATAAGATCAGATCAGATCCAATAAGATCAGATCAGATCTAATCAGATCAGATCAGATCTAATCAGATTATATCAGACCCAATCAGATCAGATCAGAACTTCAAAAATTCAGATCAGATCAGGCGTACGGAACAGAGCCTTACTGATGTTTTTGTTACACTACCAGATTTTCTGTGCCCAATAATCGGAATGGAGTTTCGAAAAATTCAGGAATTATTTACCGTGATATACTTCCAATTTTATTTTTTAGTAGAACCACTACGTACTTAGAGAAAATTAGAAGTTTCACCCACAACTCTAGCATATTTCTTTTTTAGAGATATCATATTTCTATTTGTATTCACCGACCACTTTAAAAATTGCACAAATACCAGTTGAACTTTTAAAAATATTGCACCAATTATTCCTCTGAGCCAGATTTAAAAGCACGTTAATTACACACTAATCAATACACGTGTCGAAGCTTGATGAAGATATCATGAATCAATGAAGAGGTTTATCTATTGATGACAAGCTCTACCAACTGATATCCAATCCTCAAATTGACTTACCGACGACTAAATCGAAAATAATTATTTAGCATCTAAAGAAGTTAGAAATCTTTTATCTTTTACTATAATATTTGAGACTCATGTCTTCAAGAAATTGACATGTGTTATCTTACATGACAATTTTTAAATGACATGACACATGAATAAATTACATGGCATGCTATAAATGCTCATTCATCATTTATGTAAAACTATTTATGATAATCTTGAAAATAGATTATATTGAAAATTTATGGCTTTTGAATTTATTGAAAATTATGTAAATGAAATAACAATAATTTTTCAAGAAAATTAAATAAATTAATCTTAAAAAAACTAATCATGATTAGCGCGGATATTTTTTTCATAACAATGAAAATAATATTAAAAGTCTTTTGAGTAAAATATAGTTTTTAAAAATTATTATTTTATTCTTTCGTATGAAAATTTATTGAGCTAGAATATACTGTAGAATAGCTCATCTTATACGACCTAATTAAGGATGAGAGATTTATTAAACAAATTTAGTGCATTATGGGTTTATGTATATTAGATATTTTTTTAATATGAAAACTTTGTGGTTAATGTATTCAATAACTTATTTAGTAATTAACATTTCCTTAAATATATACTAGGGAGTATAAAAAAATCTATCAATATTTAAATTTTTTTTGAGATTAAATATATATTCACGTACATCACGATATTGATAGTCTTTAAAACATTTATTTATGATATAAATAGTGTTTATAAATGATAAAACTTTTATTTTTAAATGAAAGTATTTTCATCAAGGAAATATAAATTTTAAAAAGAATTGTTTTCATCCTCTTTATTAGTAGGACTTTTTCAGCCTTTATGTTTCTTTATTGGAACATAATTTTCATAGAGAAAATATATAATAGTAAAAATATATAATAAAAAAAATATAATCTTGATATTAATATATTTATAGATTCAAGTATCGAATCCTTTACTATAATATTTGAGACTCATGTCACCAAAAAGTTGACATAGGACATCTTACATGACATGTTTTAAATGACATGACACATGAATAAAGTACATGGCATGCTTTTAATGCTCATTCATCATTGATGAATGTTAGACAATAATAATCGTATTACCTGTCGTAGTATTGGTTGTGGTAGTGTTTCATTATTAGTCAGCTTCCTAATCTTATTTGTGGTAGATCTTGTATTTTAGTTAGTCTCCATTCTCTATTTCTAGTTGTTTTAGGAATCTCTTCTATATATACTATATCATGTACATCATAATTCAAGGAGCAATATTATTATTCCAATATTTCCACAATGGAAATTTATTTATAATAACATTTAAAAAATGATGAGTTTAAAACAATGGCCTTGTTTGGGAAAAATGTTTTCAATTAGTGTTAGCGTTTTGGATAAGATCAGATATTAAGGGTGTAGATTAATTTGGAAAACGCTAACGCTAAATGCTACTGTCAGATAGCTTTTTCAAAACGCTAACGCTAGTCTCTAACACTGATGCCAAACGAGGCCAATATATTTTATATTGAAAAATTATGGACTTTTGAATTTATTAAAAGTTATGTAAATGAAATAGATGTAATTTTTCAACAAAAATTAAATAAAATAATCATAAAAAGAAACTAGTCATGATTAGCCTAGGGCTTTTTCCATAAAAACAAAAATAATATTAAAAGTATTTTAAGTAGAAGATGGTTTTTTAAAAATTATTAATTTATTCTTTTGTATGAAAATTTATTGAGCTAAAATATAATGTGGAGTAGCTCATTTTATACCACTCATTAAAGATAATTTTTAATATGAAAGCTTTGTGGTTTAATGTATTCAATAACTTTTTTAATAATTAAAATTTCCTTGAATATATAATAGGGAGTATAAAAAATCTATCAATATTTAAATTTGTTTGAGATATTATATGTATTCATTTCACGATATTGATAGTCTTTAAGAGTAGTTATTTATTATCTAAACAATGTTTAAAACTGATAAAACTTTTGTTTTTAAATGAAAGTATCTTCTTGAAGGAAATATAAATTTGTTTTTAAAAAAATTATCCTCTTTATTAGTAGAACTTTTTTAGCCTTTACTTTTCTTTATTGAAACATAATTTTCATAGAGAAAATATATAATAGTAAAAATAGATAATTGAAAATTATAAAATATAATCTTGATATTCTTATATTTATAGATTCAAGTATCAAATGACAACATATATTTTTGAATAGAATATATTAAAATAGTTCCAGAGCTCTAAATGATTTGAAAAAATGGTATGAATCCTCCATTTTGTTTCAAAACTTATTTAAAAAACAACAATCATTTCAAAAGGTTGTAAACGCACCACATTGGTTCGTACGTACTATTTTCCGTTCATTTTTGATATTTTAATTAAAAAAGGTATTTTGAGATAATTTTAAAATATTTTAAGGGAGCATAATTTATTTTTTTTATAGACGATCAATTTTGAATCTTTTTATAGTGCTCCATTCTCAGGGGGGCGGTGGGGAAAGGAAGTGGGGCGGTGGGAGATGATGGGGGTGTGAGAGAAGGGATGATCTCGATCAAGAAATTAGAGTATTGGAGGATTGAGTAAAAAAAATAAATTGATTCAAAACAAACAAATTAAAAGTCATTTTTATCTCTTTGAGAAAATATTATTCTAAAGAAATGATTTTCTACGATTTATGTAACCTAATATTGAAAAGTAGAATTATACTTTTCTTAAAAAAGTGTTTTTTTGAAGAAAATTTTTCTAATAAACAATAATTTTGTTCTGCCCGGCCCATGCTTGACACGGATTAAAAAGACTAGGATAGAAAATAGAGTAAATTCCATTAAAGGTCCACAGTTTTAGGTCGTTTTACATATTTAGTCCCTACATATCAAATATTACTAATTTAGTCCCTAATTATTATATTAATTTCCACGAATGGTCCTTTGTTAACATTTCGTTAAGAATGTGGATAAAATTGTAAATTCACACTCTTTTCTCTCCTCAATTAAGCTTTCTCTCTCCCCTCGCACTCCTTTCCCAAACCCGTTGATGAGTTTGAAGCTTTGAACCCTAAACTGAAAGCATCACTCTTCTTTCAATTGTTTGTCTAACTGGTGGAACCCAAATTCGAAATCAATAACCTTCATGGATGAGTTTTAATGTTTATTTTCTTTGCAATTTCTTGAAAGTGAAACTAACCGATTAAACTCATCCATACAACTTATTAGTTTTGATTTTAGGTTTCAACAGGAAGACTAATAATTGAGAGAGAATGACCATTTCATTTTTGGGTTTAGAGCTTCAAACTCAGCGACAAGTTTGGGAAAGAGTGAGAGGAGGGAGGAAGCTTAATTGAGGAGAGAAAAGTATGAATATACAATTTTATCAATGTTCTTAACAAAAATGTTAACAAATGACCATTCGTGAAAAATGATATAATAATTGGGGACTAAATTAGTAATATTTGATATTTAGGGACTAAATATGTAAAGCGACCTAAAACTGTGGACCTTTTATGAAATTTACTCAAATAAATTTCATAAAAGTCCCCAGTTATAGGTCATTTTACATATTTAGTCTCAATTTATCAAATATTACTAATTTAGTCCCCAATTATTAGATTCATTTCGACGAATGGTCCTTTGTTAACATTTTCGTTAAAAAGTGGATAAAATTGTAAATTCACACTCCTTTCTTTCCTTGCACTTCTTTCTCAAACCCGTCGCTGAGTTTGAAGCTTTAAATCCAAAACCAAAATCATCACTTTTTCTCTCAATTGTTTGTCGATCTGATGGAACCCAAATTCGAAACCAGTAACCTTCATGGATGAGTTTTAATGTTTATTTTCTTTGAAATTTCTCGAGACTAACCGATAAAACTCATCCATAAAGCTTATTGGTTTGATTTTGGGTGTAGAGATTCAAACTTAACAACGAGTTTGGGGAAGAGTACGAGAGAAGGACAGAAGCTTAATTGAGGAGAGGGAAAAATATGGATATACAATTTTATCCATGTTCTAAACAAAAACGTTAACAAAAGACCATTTGTGAAGAATGATATAATAGTTATGGACTAAATTAGTAATATTTGATATGTAGGGATTAAACATGTAAAACGACCTATAATTTGTGCATATTTAAAAAAATTAAAAGTTAGCATTTTTCACCGATCCAAAAAAACTCTACCAATTTCTATTAAAAAGTTAGGTTTATTCCTACTAATTCTTAACTTATCTATAACGACTATAAATCTACTCATCACATTCGATGATATTTTTGAAAGAATAACACTAAAATTAAATATACTCCCTTGAATTTTTTTTAAAATCGAAACTAGAAAGAATTTGCAACTATAAATCTATTCATCACACCTAATGTCATTTTTGAAAGACTTAACATTATTCTTTTTAGTGATATGAGATTTCTATTTGTGTTTAGAGAGAAATAAAAGAATTTAAGATGTATATCTAGGAGTATCACAAATCAATGACGATAAAAAAGAAAAGATAATGAAGAGAGAAAAGGACAACATAATAGGCACGAATACACATGTTGTTATATTAACCACCTTAACCATTCATTCATCAAACGAAGGAACAAGCAAACAAAAAACATTCAAAACCAACACTAAAACTGCATGTAATTAAGAACAAACCATAATAAGCACATAATTATAATCTAGAGCTCGTCGTCCCTCTTCGTCTTGCACTTGGCTTTGTCGCTGCAAACCAAGTTATCCTTCGCTTCCCTAGTCTTCTCCGTCGCCGCCCCGAGGTTCGACGCGATCGTCTCCTTCGCCGACTCCAACGCTTCCCCCGCCTTGCTCTTCGCCGCCTCGTACCCCTCCTTCGCTTTCTCCGCCGCCCACCCCATCTTCTCCTTCCCCTGCTCCCCCGCCTCCCCCGCCGCCTCCTCTGCCGCCTCCGTGGCTTTCTCCGCCGTCCCCGACGCCTTTTCCCCGGCGCCTTTGGCGGTCTCGTACGCCCATTCCTTCGCGTCCCCGGTTTTCTGATACGCTTGGTTGGCGGTCTCGGCGGACTTCTCTTTCGCCTTTTCGTATGCGCTCCCAGCGGTATCAGAAGCCTTTTGCCTCGCCTTCTCCGAGGCGTCGTACGTCGCGTCTTTCGTATTAGAAGCCTTTTGCTTCGTCTTCTCCGCCGCGTCGGACGTCGCGTCTTTGGCTTCCCGGGGTTTGTTGCTGGCGGCATGCCTGTTCTCCTCCGCTTTATCTGCAACATACTCTCCTGTTCCTGCATATACCCAACATATACACTTTTGTCAAATTTCACAAATTACTCCAGCGTGTGACCCCTAAAATCATTTTCATTCAGTACCTTTTTGGTAACTTATAACTTTCTATTTATAATTATGTTCATTTTAAAATTTATTTTGATTTAAAAATTATTTTTGTTGAATTTCTGAGTTAAAATTTGACTCAAAAGTGGGTGAGGGCACGTAGGTCGGGTTGGGGCGGGGCGTCAATTTTTCGAACAAAGACATTGCTTGGGATCCTCTATCCCAAATTCGTGTCCCAAAAACTCCATGTTCACCAATTAAGGCAATTAAGATATGACACCCCCATCCCCCTCATTTAACACAAACTCGCCTTGGGGTGTGTTATGTGTCAAATGTTTCTTTTAAAAAATATAAATAAAAATATTAAAATTTCTACTTCTTATTTTTAAAATTTTAACTATAAATTATGGAAAATACGGAGTATACTCAAAATATGTTATAAATTTAATAAATTACTCCATCCCTCCCAAAAAAAATTTATCTTTTCATTTTTTCATCCGTCCCAAAAAAACTTTTCACATTTCTATTAAAAATCACTTGTACCCATACTTTTTCACTACTAATCTATCCATGACATCTACTTTTATCTGTCAAGGGCATTTTTTGGAAATTCTAACACCGAAATAAACTCCTCTTAAAACTCTTAAAAATCAAAACAAGAAATGTTAATTTTGCGGAACGAAGGAAGTATATAGAAAGATTAAAGGGTGGGAGGGAGTAGTCAACCTAAAAAACTCCAGTGAATAAAACTTCAAGACAAAGGCTGGGGATTGCCATAAATTTATTTAATCATCAGAAAGGGGACCGGAGATGGATTACCCGAGGCGGAATCGGCGATCTTGTCCTTGGCATTCTTGGCCCCGTCTTGGGCGGACTTAAGACGGAGGCTTTCGGCGAGCTTATCCTTGGCCCACTCCGTCCACGACTCCGAATTCTGGTCTTTCGAGTCGTCGACGGCCGGGTTTTTTGTCTCTATTTTGATATTAGACACATCCTCCTGACCCACTGTAGCGGCGGCCGCCACCGCAAGGAGAGCGGTCATCACCACCGCCGCGGCCGCGGCACAACCGAATAGCCTTGGGGGAATTGATGTGGGTGCCATAGTTTTCTGTAACCGGCGATTTGGGAAAGGGTAGAAATGGGATTTTGAATTTGGCAGTTCTTTTTTTTTTTGAAAGGGTGGGGGGATAGGGAATATAAGGGGAGTGGTGGAAGGCTACGTGGGAGGAGAGCGCATGCAGAGAAGACACGTGTTGTCGTTGGTGTCACAGGTGTCAGTCGTCAGGGGCTGACACGTCAGGAGTCGGACACCATGGTCACCAAGCATCGGTTTGGGATGGTCGTCAATATGTGAACGGGGTAACATGGTTAAGCTATTTAGCTCGTACCGATACTGTACCAAATATTTTGGTTCGGTATGAGATTTTACTCTGTACCGATCCTGATTTCGAAATATCGGTTCAGTATGGTTCGTGATGGTTCGGTATCAGTTTCGGTACAAATCAAGATGAATATACATACATACTTTACACCTTAAAATTTAACAATGTCCCTTTATTTTTGAAAATTAAAAGTGAATTTAAATAAAAAAACATAAAAAATAAAAAAAATAAATATTTAAATGTAAGAGGTGCGTATCAAAACTTAGTTTATATTTCACAAACTAAAAAAATGAATGACAACAAATGAGTATTTTGAATCTTTGTGAATACTTTTATATTCATACACAAAAACTAAAATAAAATTATTATTTACACATAATAGAACTTGAACCAATTTTTTTAAAAAACTATTATTTAATGAAGAAATATAAAAATATTACTCCGGGGTATTATTTTTAAAATATTTTACTCCTTTCGTCCCGTTTTAAATGACATGTTTTGACTTTTGGGCATATTTAAGGAAGAGAAAAAACTAGAGTTGATTTTTCAAAATTGTCATTACTCGAGGTGACAATGAATGAGAAGATAAGATGTAGAAGAGTGACTTATTTTAAGGGTAGTTTAGGTATTTTATTCTTAAAAGTTTCTGATAACAAGTAAGAGATAAAATATTTTGGGACGGAGAAAAAAGGCAAACATGCAATTTAAAATTGGATAGAGGGAGTAGTATATATGTCCGGCTCGAGATTTTCGTTTTGGGATGTCACCTCGTATCGTTCCCAAATATCGTCCCGACAATTCAGTTCGGTACGATTTGGTTACTTCTCGGTACTTTTTCGGTTCAGAATTTTTCAATTCAGTATTCTCAATTTTTCGTGAAATTTTAGTATCGGTTTGGTACTTTGCTCATCCTTAATGTGAACCTCTTTTGAAAATGTTTGGTTGAAAAAAAGATGAAAACCATCTCCTAGAACCCCTTAACACCAATTAAACTGTGGTAAATTGAGATATAATCTCAATAAACAATACTTTTTGACCTAAATAGGAGTACTTTACTTTATAAGACTAATGTCATATTCTCCTCAACTTATTTTTTCATTTATTACTTATTGTTATTGGAATCAAATCAGATTAGAAATGAGTTTAAATATAACTACATTCAAATCAGATCAGACCAAATCATATCAGAATTTATTACAATTATATCAGAACCAATCAGATCAGATTAAGAGAATACGACCTTACCATAAATAAAAATATAAAACGTGTCCAACCATATAACCGATCCGGTTTAACAACCCAAAAACCCGCAAAAAGTTGGGAAAATTGGGGAACCGAGAAGGTAAAAAATTTAAACAATATATTCTATCCTACACGGGATGAACAACAACAAATCTAGTAAAATCTCACTAAAAGTACAAACTCATTTGAAGTTAAAGAAGATTGGGCGATTAACAAATTAAAAAACCTCGATAACTTCAAAACTATGCTTCTACTATCTCAATTCCTTTTGTTGTCTCTTGTGTTTTCTTGTCAATCCAATTTAAATAGGTCGGAGAAAGAAAACAACTTTTTTAAGTTGTTCAAGAAAAAACGGAGAGTCTACATTTCCTTTAAAAAATCCGCAATAACTATTTTAAGTCTTAAAGAAATCTGTTATTAAGTCGTAACAAAAATAAGATTGGTGCGAATATCGTATGAAATAACTCTTATCATCTTTAGCTTCTTTACGTTATACCCTATCCGTTCTAAAAACATTTCCTCTTTCATTTTTCCATTTCTAACAAAACACTCCCACTTTCTACAAAAAATTGTATTTAAACTTAGTTTTTCATACCCTATCTATTACATCATACTTTTTCTCTAATAGTCTATCCATTACATCTTACTTTTACCAATAATATCATGGGCAAAATTGAAAGTCGACTACTATAATTTAACACTTATTTTGGTATAAAAAAATTTAAAGCCTTATTTCGTTATATGAGGCATTTTTTTAGTCCTAGGTATGTAGTTTTCCTTTGAACTTAACTATAGAGAATCTCAAGTATTTATTTGATACTTCATCTTATCATATACAAAGTGCTTCGAGTTTCAAATATATATATATATATATATATATATATATATATATATATATATATATATATATATATATATATATATATATATATATATATATATATATATATATATATATATATATATATATATATATATATATATATATATATATATATATATTAGAACATATGTCTCTATTTAAAGCTAAAAAAGAGGCGATTACAATGTACCACAAGATAAAACCAATGTAATAATAATAACAAAGTAAATTTGTTTTTTTTTAAAAAAACCAGCTCAAATTCATGTTCAAACATCAACATTTTCATGATTTCAACTGGCAGCTTGCTATCTTCTTCTTCATCATGATCTGCTGAAGAACATCTGCAACCATATGATCAAGTTTACCTAGCAAACAGTCGAAATAATCCGTCTGTCGATTCACAGCCAAAGCAACAGAATATTCATCATCTTCATCAGATCCCACCATGGATTCTTCTGAAGGTTCATAATCACTCTCATCCCCACCAACAACAACATTGTGATCCCCAGCAACAACACCGAACGATCCCCGAAGCCCCACCGGGAAATCCCGCCTTGCAGATACATTTCGTCTCTTGTACTTCGGATTGAAAAGAACCAATCCACCTTCTTCCTCGACGAGCCCGGGATTCGCAGCATGAAATCCATTCAACCCATTGAAGGAATCATCAAACTTGTCTGTCTCAAATCCCACAAACTTAGTTCTCCAAGATTCATCATCATCATCATTAACTTCAGCTTCTTCTGAAGGGTCATAATCGCTCTCATCCCGGCTAACCGGAACGGAATCGCCGGGAAAATCTCGCCGTGCGGAGACATTTCGTCTCTTGTAATTAGGCTCGGAGGAATCAGTAGAGATTTTGAGATTCTCCCATAACTGTTTAAGGGAACTAATTCGACCCATCGTAGAACCAACGCTTCAGTACGAATCCATCAAATTGAGAATCGAGAATCGAACCCTAGGGTTACCTGAAATACGATTCGAAGAACAGAACGAGTTCAGATTCCAGATTAGAAAAATTCTTTGAGATTCAAAAACTAAACATGAAGTGGGGAAGATCGACAGGCGGCTAGGGTTACCTGCAGTTGAAATTCTGGAAATAAGGATTGGTAGAAATCGGTCGGCTGTGGATTGGAACTTGAAAGTTCCCGGCAAGAAGAGCAAAGGAAGTTGATACATTAAATTCAATCGATTAGTTAGTTCAACTCAAGAGCTTATGATTATTTTCCTCACACTTTTTCGATGTGGGATAATCTTAACACTCCCCCTCAAGTGGACAACCGGGTCATTTTGAATCTAACCGGTTGACCACTTGCAAATGAACTCCCATTCCCTTGACTCTTTTTAAGCGCCAACACCTAAATTAAAGGACCACGAGCCGCTGGGTATGGACTTCCAGACGAGCAATCGTGTTAAACGGGCCACAAGCCGTTGAGTACATACTCCATACGGACAACTGGGCTAAAGACTAACGGGCCGCTAGGAATTAACGTCTAGATGGATACCTTGACAAACGAGGTGGGCCAAAACCTGCTCTGATGCCATGATAGAATTTGGGATGGGTATGGACAACTCGATTGGGTAATAAGACACTTGGGCTGAACCACATTAAAAGATTAAATCCAATCGATTAGTTAGTTCAACTCAAGAACTTATATACCGATTATTTTCATCACACTTTTCCGATGTAGGATACTCTTAACATATTGTTTGACGCTGTTAAGGCGTTAAACACCGCCCTCTTCTCCCGTTATGCAGGCACCAGCCACTCAGCGTTAAACGTTTAACACGACGAAGGACCAAAAGAACCGTTGTCACCCCCTCCCCACGGTCTAATATTTGAAAGTTGCCAAATATAAAAAAATTATAACTTCAACTATAAATATACTCTGATACATTAAAAAAACACATACAACATATTCTCACATTCTCTTATCCAATTCTCTATTCTTTCTCAAATTTATTATGTTTCTCAATTTTTTTATTTTTTATCATGAATCTCTTCGGTTCTTCCGTTTCTCCATTTAGTCTTGAGCCAAACGAGTACGCGAAGTGGCTTTACCGAACGTACGGAAATAATCTGACGTTTTTCGATACCCAAATCTCGGTGAATCAGGAGAACCCGGAGTCAATTCTGGAAACTCAATTGCAATCAAGTCCACCAAAAAAAGTGCACACCGGAAGAGTTACAAACCAAGGACTGAAAAGTCAATGACCGAGGTGGCACGATTCATTCAAAAATGGACATCGGAGGAAGAAGTGTTGTTGGCATCCGCGTGGGTTGACGTCTCGGAGCATCCTATCGTTGGTAAAATTTATATGTTTTTAATATATATTTTATATATGTTTTTTTATATAATTGTATTCAAATATATAATTTTATTAAATTATATATATTTTAAAGGTACTGATCAAATGAGGCATGCGATGTGGGATCACATCGAGGAGAAGTTCTTTGCCGCAATGAACAATGATGCCTCCTACCGAACCCGAAATCAACTCACTTCCAAATGGGGCCAATAAACAGAAAATTCCAAAAGCTTATCGGAGTGTACGAGAAGTGCTCTCGGTCCCAGAAGAGCGAGACAGACGATCCTGATGTTTTGCGGCAAGCCACGGACCGGTATCAAGACGACAGGCACTAAGGTAAAGTCGTCGTCGATTTGTAAAGAGTTCTAATATAAGTTGTTTATCGAAATGACAACAACTTTACAACCTCGAGACCAGATTATCAAAGAAAATATCCTCTGCTGATGTTGATGCGGATGATACTATCGGCTTGTCGAAACAAAGGCCTCCCGTCAACCTAAACGACGCTGATTCGAAGAAATGAGATAAAATCAATTGCCTTGGGTTCTGGGTTCGTCTCTTTTTTCTCTCACAACGATATTACCCAACATATGGTTGAATAAATGTGGCTTTTCAATCTTAAGGAAGAAGATAGGGAGAGGCGGAGGATTGAGAAGGAGGAGCTCAAAATAATAAAAACCGACCTTGATATGTTAACGAGATTCAAACGTATGTATTACGAGAAAAGACAAAACAAGATCAAGGTTATTTAATTAATGTAAGTTTTTTTAATTTAATGTTATTTTTTAATGAATGTCATTTTCTATTTAATGAATAATTCCTTTTAAAATTTAATTAATTAATGAAATCTTATTAATTTACTTTTACAAAATGTGTATTCAAAAAAATTTAAAAATGAAAGTTTGAAGCCCCATTTTGAAGCCCCAGAACTTTAAGTCCATTTACAGTGAAAGTGTGAGATAAGTTAAGAGGAGTTAAAGCTGATATGATAGAGAGAAACTTTGAACCCGGGTTTGAAGCCCCGTATTTCAAATGTATTTTTAGTGTTCTTAGCAGTACTCAATTTCCTCACCTCTCTCTTGAAGTCTACACCATTCCTTTATACTTCTTTGGTTTCACAATGGATGTCACGTTTCGAACAACATATACAATTTCATTGCTTTTAAAATTATTTAAATTACACCGTTCAAAAATACTACTTTTGTCTTAGTGTTGTTGTCCAGTTTGACTTTTTTGAGTCAAACTCGATAAACCTAGAGCATCAATTACTTTCAATTTGTATTACACATTAGTATAATACAATAAAATTTTGAAAGTTCTCAAAAAGATAAATCTAATAAAATCATTTTTATACTAATATATAATAAGGTAGTATTTAATTGAAGTTCAAAGTTTATTTGTTTTATTTTGAAAAAGTCAAATTGGATATATACACTTGGACGAAAGGAGTAAATCAACAGTTCTAAAAAATAGTAAGTGACAAAAATATTTTATTTTATCAAATGATAAATGAAAACATATAAATAAATAAATAAAATATATCGAGAGACTATAATAATGACAATAGCATCCATTGTGAGAAGAAGAGAGTATCATTTTTGTGTGTGCTTTTTTGTGTATCTCATCCGTGGCAATTTTTTCCCTCTCAACCCCACTAGCCCACACTTTGGATGCATGGAAAGAGGAGAAGAACACATTGAGAACCCAAAAAAGTACACATGGGGAATTCTCACTATTAGAGTATTGGTAATACCCGTGAAGCCACGAGACTTCAAACTGGGGCTTCAAATTTTTCTTTCTACTACTTCAGTTTTAACTTACTTCACATATTCACTGGAAATGGGTTTGAAGCCCTGTAGTTTCAAATAGTGGCTTCAAATCCTTATTTTTTACATCTTAAATACACATCTTCTAAAATTAAATTATTTATTTAGTTCTTGATGAGTTGGGGCAGTCTGGGGCATCTCGTGTGTATTGCCGGCGCATTTGCCAGGAAGAGGTGGTTTGGGCCCTCCGCGGGATGCGTAGTGGGAGAGCTTTGGGACCATATGAGATTCCGGTGGAGTTTTGGAAGCATGCGGGGTGTGGTGCGAGGGTTTGGTTAACCAAACTCTTCAATGTTATCCTCCGGACAGCAAGGATGCCTGATGAGTGGAGGGAGAGTCTCTTGGTCCCTCTGTTTAAAGGAAAAGGTGACATTCAGAGCTGCGAGAATTACAGAGGCATCAAACTGCTTAGCCACACCATGAAGGTTTGGGAGTGAGTCATTGAGTATAGTGTGCGGAAAGGGGTTTGCATCTCTGAGAACCAGTTTGGTTTCATGCCTGCCAGATTGACTACAGAGGCCATTCATCTCGCGAGGAGGTTAATGGAAGAGTATATGGCTAGGAAGAAGGACCTTCATATGGTGCTTATTGACCATGAGAAGGCGTACGATAGGGTGCCAAGGGAGGTCTTATGGAGGTGCCTTGAGAGGAGAGGAGTTCCCATTGTGTACACTCGCGTTATCAAGGATATGTACGATGGGGCTATGACCAGGGTGAGGACTTCCGGGGGCGACTCTGAGTCTTTCTCGGTAGGGATGGGGTTGCACCAGGGGTCTGCCCTTAGCCCTTTTTTGTTCGCCTTGGTGATGGACGTCCTAACCCAAGCTATTCAAGAAGGAGTCCCATGGTGCATGCTTTTCGCGAATGATATTGTGCTTATCGATGACACACGCGAGGGACTTAACAATAAGTTGGAACTATGGCGCCTTGCCCTTGAAACTAAAGGATTCAGAATAAGTAGGAACAAGACTGAATACTTGGAATGTCATTTCAGCGGCCGGGAAACAGAATCAGAAGTGGAAGTTAGGATTGACTCTCACCTAGTACCTAAGGTAGACAGGTTTTGATATCTTGGCTCAGTGATCCAGGCTGATGGGGAGTTAGATGGGGATGTTGGACACCGTCTTGGAGTGGCTTGGTCAAAATGGCGGTTAGCCTCAGGGGTGTTGTTTGATCCGAAGATCTCGCCCAGGATGAAAGGTAAGTTCTATCGATATGTAGTCAGACCAGCTATGTTGTATGGTGCAGAGTGTTGGGCGGTTAAGAAAACTCATGTGTGTCGTCTGCATGCGGCGGAGATGCGGATGTTAAGATGGATGTGTAGAAAGACAAGGTTGGATAGGATTTCGAACGAAGTTATCCGATATCAGGTAGGCATGGCGCCGGTGGAAGATAAGTTGCGGGAAGCGAGGTTGAGATGGTTTGGTCATGTGAGACGGCGGGATGCTAACGCCCCTGTACGGATATGCGAGAGGATTACGATTATCGGGGGAAGTAGGAGAAGGGGTAGACCTAGGAAGCATTAGAAGGAGGTGATTAGGCAGGATTTAGGATTTCTCACCCTGACTGAAGATATGGCCTTAGATAGGAACCTTTGGAGAACTAGGATTAGAGTAGCTGGATAGGAGCTCGGTGCTATAGAGGTTGTTTGTAGTGGGTTGTGTTTGTTTGGAATCTTTTTCTATTGTTTGTACTTGTTGATTGTATTTGGTGCTTTACCCGTACTATACTGTGTTTCCTTCCAAAATTTTGTGCAGGTTGAGCTGGGGGTTTCTTGGAAACAGCCTCCCTACTTCCGAGTAGGGGCAAGGTCTGCGTACACACACCCTTCCCAGACCCTACTTGTAACGCCCCAAAACATACCCTAGAATTAATAATGAATAAATAATCAATTAATCACAATTGTTTTGATTAAAATAAATTATTGTTGGGCTTTGGGCCGATATGAAATTTGTTTTGACATCTAATATCAAAATCTGGATAAGTCTCATAGAGATAAATCCAATATGTGGACTATTTGTGTGGTCTTGATTGGGAACCTGAGTACAGACCCAAATCAAGAGTAAATAAAGAATTTGTTTAGAATGTAAATATTGAAATGATTTGTTGAAATAAATCATGAGAATAATTGATGTGAATTAAATGAGAGAACCTTTTATGAGGAAGGTCAATTAAACCAATTTTGACTCTGTTAAAGTCAAACACCCAAAAATGTGGTGTCAGAAAAAGTATAATGAATGAATATAAAAATTATATCGTTGGATAGAGTTCGACTGTCTGATCGCAACAGTGCAAACGGATTTTAATTCGGAGAAAGTTGGACCAAAAAGTGTACCCCGACTGGGACCAAATTAGTCCCAATCAGGGAAGATTCGTAGCAATCAGACTAAATCAGCTGACCTTCCCATTTCGCCGATCGTGAGTCACCACTGACTCAACTCCATTAGCTTCTTCTTCTTCACCAATATATAAGGAAGACCTCTCTTCCTCATTTCTTCACCATTCTTCTTCATTCTTCTTCCTAAGTGTTCATGAAAGTGTGAGGAGTGTTGTGGTGCTGTCAATTTGGTGTGAAGTCGCTGGAGTTGGGAGAAATACTCGCCGGAAGTTTCGCCGGAAACTTTTCAAAACCTTTGTTTGGCTTCGAGGTAAGCCCGTAGATATATCTAATGACTAGAATGTTCATATAGATCGATTCTACGTTCATAGATGGTCATTTGGTTGAGTTTTGTGTTTGACATACTTGA